GTTTTTTAATTTACTACAGTATGGTATTCAGGCGACTCCTGTTTCTTCACTTTACATGACATGAAGAAGAAATTTATTGGACACATTGACAATGTTCTCCTATACATTGGAAATTGCTACTTTTGTGTTAAAAATCTGTTGTCATAGCAACAGCATGCTTAGAATAAAGCTCTCAAAATTTGTCTTTACCAGGTCATTTTAAAAATTCCCTTCGGTGAAATTTTTTTAAACTTTGCATAAAAGATAATACTTGTATAATGATTTTTTTTCCTCAATTTAAAAAATTAAATCGATACGTTTCTTAGAAAATTTAAAAAACGTCAAAAATCAATATTACGAATTTTCCCTTCGATTTAATTTTAAGAAAAAAGGATATTGCACTTATTGTGCCGATATTAAAATATGTGCAAAGTTTTAAAAAATTTCACCGAAGGAAAAGGGAGAAATTTGGGTTTAATTTTGGCAATTTTTACTAGATTTTGGCGAACAATTTAATACCACAACTGACGTGTACATGCATTTTGTATAAAACAACAAGGCATGACTTTTTTGAAATCATAAAATATAAATTATGTTTGATATACTGTTTATAACTGTGTCGGTTAATGGTCAACTAAGCGTGGATTATACATGTAAAATTGGCAAAGATATTTAGGCAATTACTGATTATGACTTCTTGGTATTAATTTGAAAAATGTTTGTCAAAATTCGTCCCGTGCGAGTTAGTACTATTGTCGGATGTTTTCGCAAAATGCCCGTTCAAATTTCAGTTTTTATAGTAATATGTTTCGAGTTTCGGCCCTGCTCATTTCACCCGTAGAAAGCTCATTATTTAAGTTATCTTTATTGCCATAAGTGCTGCTAGATTGTGGAGAAAACACTGCAAATTCTTGAGGAAACTTTATATCATATCCCAATGTTCGCGATCGAACCTCGCGTACGGCGCCACGGCGGTTCAAAAAACTTCCAGAATACCGCTTGAAAAAAAACAAGTTTACGTTATCTTCTTTTCAAACATCACATCCAAGTATTGTTCTGGCTTTTAGAACTCTTTTTATGCTTTCAACTAAAGCGAAGTTCACACTTTTGTTTCAAAAAAGAGTTCCATATAAAACACAACGTTCGTTCATATTTTGAAGTCACACGAGTTTTAGATTACATATATACGAAGAACGTAACCCCCGGAAATAAAACCCTAGGGAGCCACCTTAAAGGCATGAAAATATGTGGAAGTGTCCGATCCCATTCTTACCATTAAGTCTTCTTTAAAAACATTTAAATTTGAACGAAATGCGATATATAGATGTTGACTATAGAATTTTAAATGTTTGCCTACACTGACTGCATTAGTTCACATAAGAATACTCTTGCCATTGTGTAGTTGGCTGGCAAGGGTGAAGAAGGAAAGAAAACAAATTCATATACAGTGACACATGAGTCAAACATGTTCGAACTTAAAGTCAAAACTTAAAATCTTAACTTTTATCATATTGGGCTATTGGCTGCAGCTGCCTGATACGGGAAGTCGGGAACACTAACATACTCTTCGCTTAAAATGAAAATATATCACGTACTACAAACTTTGATTGGACTTTTTCTGTAGTAATACTGAAACATCAGTGAATGCTCTTTATTGGATCTAAAGGAAGAACTGTGTACAACTGATGCACAATAAAATTATGACTATAGTGTAATTGTTGAAGGATTCAACTTGCTGAGAAACACAGAACAAACTTCTACGTCTCTTCGTCGAGAAACGTCGAAGTTTGTTTCTTTTTTTTAATAAAGTTAGTTTGTGTTCTAGATTTCCTTCTGTGACAGGACTGGGGAAGTTAAGGATGGTCCTTCATTACTGAACCTCTATAGCGAGAATAGTTTTAACTGTCAGAACTACCCAATGAAAAGTTAATTTACATGGTGTTTAGTACAGTGACATAGTTGATTTTAGTGGGGTGGAAATTGGTGCATGACATGACATGAAATAAGTATGTTCGCTTCTGAGTTTGGCTTTTCAGTTATCTATAATAATAATAATAATAATAATAATTTGTTCATTTAAATAGAGCACGCATATAGTCTATGTAAAATACTCAAAGCGATACTATACATTGTGAAAAGCTAACAATACATCTAGTGGAAAACGGAATCGGAGTAAAGTATACTAAATATATATATATATATATATATATATATATATATATATATATATATATATATATATATATATATATATATATATATATATATATATATATATACAAAGGTTCGAGTACTAACATGTTATTTAAGGCCAAATGTTTCAAGCATTTCATTAAACTTCATCGTGTTTGTGTTAGCCGTATCAATAAAATTTCTGGGCACAAAACAATATCCTCCAAATAGTTTGAGAATTCATCAAAACATTTTCCAGGTAGAATGTGGTGAGCCACGGAGTACGGTGGACGATAAACAGCAATTAGTTTGATAGAATGATGAGATATAGAGAACTTCCATTCGGAATATTCAAAGGATTGCATATCCCCACCACGAGAAAGGGAGACATTTAAACTAGAGTTGAACATTATCTGTACCTCCTGGCTGGCCTATTGGACTGACGAGGGAATGATTTAAATGAATATCCTGATTGACAAATACCTGCAGTACTTGCTGTGTTCTTGTCCTTCAACCAAGTCTCAGTTACTACGCAAACATCAATATTTTGCCCAAAAATGTGGTCGACGAAAACAGCTGTCTTATTTCTTAATGATCTTAGCGTTAATCGTTGCAAAACATAACATGTTAGGTTGTGAGGTTGAGGCAGTAATTATACATTATTAAACAATGAAGGAATATATAGACACATCCTGTATTACGTTTTATATAATACCTTATTGAATTCTGATCGTTTAATTGGCTGTTTATGGTCACGTGATATTGAATAGAAAATTCCATTTCCCAAGAGTGCAATGGAATACGTTCCATTGCACTCTTGCGAGTGCAATTGTACTACAAAACGTTTTATTCCATTGCACTCTTTGTGTTTTCGATAAATCGCATCCGTCAAAATGCTTCTCGTACTGTGATCGCAGTTTATTTTAACCCGATATTCGAAACTCAGTAAATGGGATTTAATGCAAATACGACTCGTCAAAATGGCGGCAGCTTACAGTAAACCTTTTAATATTAGTCTATTTTGGTATTATATAAAACAAATAATGAATGTTTTTATTCGTGCAATGGTAAGAATATTTTCATTCGGTGAAAGATGGAATGTTCCATTCAACTCGGCTGTCGCCTCATTGAATGGAACATTCCATCTTTCACCTCATGAAAATATTCTTACCATTGCACTCATAAACATTCATTATTTGTATACTGATGCCAAACTATTAATCTTTGTTTAATCTTGCATGCATATCCGCCTGTATATACATGAATTAGTTTTTGTAAGCGAATATAATTAAACATTGGTTATTGACGTACATATATTATATACATGCTATATATTATTATATGAAATATATAATACCCTCAGCCGGTTTATATATGAATCTTTTTTATGAATCGTTTATGAATCTTTTTATAGCAAATTTGTATAAATGGCATCGGAAATATTCTCGTTCGATTTTACGAAGAACGGAAAACGCTATCCTCCGCGGATAGTGATTTTTCAACCGTTGTAAAATTGTTTGAAATTATATAGAACTATGCTGACATACGAAAAGTCACAGTTAATAAAAAGAAACTTGAATTTGTCAATACTAAGTTTAATCTGGGATATAGGAAATGGATAATTTAGAAACCTTGGAGAGAAAACTATCCATTGGATAGCGCTATACGGCTTTCGTACAGCTGGCCTTTGGCCGTTTAGGACGATGATTGTTTATAAAAAAGGGACTTTTAATGAGAGTCGACATGATACTTACGCCCGTATTCTAAAAGCTCACTCACACTCACACTCAATGAGTGGAGGTTCGATCTGAGCTTCTCTCGAGTGTCATTGCTGTTTTTGAATAGCTGGAGGGCTAGTGTCGTACCTTACTATGTGACTGTTCACCCTCCAGCTATTCAAAAACAGCATTGATACTCAAGAGAAGCTCAGATTGAACCTCCACTCATTGAGTGTGAGTGTGAGTGAGCTTTTAGAATACGGGCGTTAGTGTTTTCACTTCCATAATGCTTCGAACGTGATGTAAACACTCACTGATTCCTGTTATTGAAATAGTTAAGCTGAACAAATATACTAGTATTTAACAAAAATCTCCATTTTTCTAGAATTACAAAGCATGTTGCGATGGACTGTGAATTTGTCGGTGTTGGTAAAGAAGCTTCAGAACATATGTTGGCGAGGGTTTCAATAGTAAACATGGACTGTGAAGTTCTTTATGACAAATATGTTGGTGCACAAGAAAGAGTTGTGGATTACAGAACTCACGTCAGTGGCATTAGACCTTTCCATTTAAGAAATGGTTAGTTACTTCACACACTATATGAAATACAAATAATTATTAAAGTGGCAGTTAAATCCATTCTATTTCGATCTATGGGCCCACACATTACCGCATTTCACATGCACTCACGAAAATAAAATTGAGCTGCTGAAGATAAAATTTTCCGAAAGAATACATTTCAAAAAGGATATATGCCGTCCGCTGCGTTCCGATATCGTTCACTTTCATTTAGCATGTCTTAGATGTGAAATATTTTTACGGGAACTAACACTTTGAAGCACGTTGAGTTCAAATCCGAAAAGTTCTCGCTCCGTAGACCCGTAGTTTTCTCACAAACTGCTATTTTATCTTGTTCAACGACACGGATCGACGACGATACACGATTATGTCACTCAAAAGGACCAATTAGCCTTTCTCACGCCGCCATTTTTGTGGTACTGTAATTTTTCGTAAACGATTATAACAAAGTGAAAAGCTATATTTCAGAACAAACTAACTATTTACAGAGTAAATTTACCATCATACACCCACAAAATTATAAAATGTCGCCTTTACGTGGTGTTACGCTCGCAGGATTGGCAAAAGAGTACCCCCAAAAATGGCGGCGTGAGAAAGACTAATTTCTCTTAACCATTCTTCTTTTTAACAAAAGACCGGTTTTGCTCGAATCATTTTGATTTTGAGTTATTTAATCTTATGCGTGTTGGACGTAAACATGCAACATAGCTTGTCTACAACTTTGAGCAGGCACAGATAACAGCTTTTAAAATCCTCAGTTCTAGCGATATCTCTATAGAATCGCAAGGAAGTTTATGCTAAGTCTTTTGGCTATGTCACTGGCCTGGAAAATAACTCTTTTAACGTGATCAAAGTATTTAAAACAAAAGTAACGCGAAGCCAACGTAACAGCAAAAACAACGCTAAAATCAAATATTGCCGATTGGTTTCTGGTAGAAGACTTACGGCAGGATCAATCTTAAATAACCTTAAACTATAAGAATAAATGTTCACATCAAAGATAAAGATCAGTCCCAAAGTATAAATTCTGCTCTGTAAACCTACGACGAAGTGGAGAAATGTGTGCATGAGCCTCTCTCCTCCACAGAGGTTTACATGAAGTTTCTAGTGAGGGAAAAGTGAGCGCGCAAGGAGTGATGGGAAGAGCTAAATAAAGGAAGCCTCTGCGAGTTAATGCAATCAATATGGCGTCGTATTCGAAAGTCCAACACGAATTATATAACATAACTCAAAATAATTCGAGCAACACCGATCTTTTGTTAAAAGGCAGAATGGTTAATAGAAATTGGTCCTTTTGAGTGACATAATCGTGTATCGTCATCGTGTATCGCGTGTGTTGAACAATGAAAAAACTTGCTGTGAAATTAGTGAAGATAAAATAGCAGTTTGTGAGAAAACTGTGGGTCTACGGAGCGGGAACTTTTCGGATTTGGACTCATCGTGTTCGAAAGTGTTAGTTCCCGTAAAAATATTTCAGATCTAAGACATGCTGAATGAAAATCGTTTTCTAGGCACTTTTCGAGGTCACGACACACGGACTAAGACGGACAACTTGATTTGTTCAGAATTGAATAAGGAACATGCATAGTTCAGTCCATTATATTATTCATTAGGTTTCATGGCCGTTTTTGGTGACGGGCGCTTTGCCCGCGCGGGATGAGAACGACCTATGTACAAGCAACATGACGTGTACGAGAGGGTTTAATCGTGCTAACGGATGCTAAAGCGTATGCCGTATGATGTAAATTGCATCATCTTTCTATAGCATAGTCCACAGAGAAAAGTGACTCGAAATTTGTCCAATATAATCCACCTTTACTGCGACGGATAATATGACACTGCCAGGTAAGCAAACTTGCACATTTTCAGACAACTTTTGTGGCGTACTGTAAAAGTATATACAAGTGCCGAAGTGCGCGAACTAAAAAGGGAAATAAACATACAAGAAAGAACGAATCTGAGTTTTCGTATGGGAAGTAATTTAGACGTTGTCAGTGTTTCATGCTCGTGCTTACTCGACAAATATTCAAATCGCAAAGAGATGTGTTTTAACACATCTCAATATCAAACAAGGTCGAAGGAGAATAACGGAACAGTGTCGATTGTAGCTTTGTAAATGTTAAAAGTTCAACTGGAAAGGACAGAAATTCGGCAATTTGGTATATATAGACGCAAGTTGCCCATTGTCTGGCAGTAACCTATGTTTGTTCTTGCTATCTTCTCTATATGTAAATAGGTAATTTCACGCCCCTCATGGAAACCAGCCTTCCAACGGTTGTTGAGGCTGTCTTTGATGATCCACGTTGAATGAATGAATGAATGAATGAATGAATGAATGAATGAATGACTTCATCTGAGTTGGCTGTAGCAAGTACAGGATCGTGGATTCATAATTTGCTGCTCTTAGTCCGTATTTACCGATAAAATGAAACGCGCAAATGTAGCTAGCTGTTTATAAACTTGTCGCACCGACAGCATGGGTTCATCCAGATAATTTCCCTCTTTTCCTTCAATTTCTTTTGCAAGCCATAAAACAACACCGTTGTTGTGCCACTCTTATAACATTGCTGGACATTCACATTGTGAGTCAAATACATGTAAAGCATATCTCTTTGCCATTTGAATATTTACGGCGCAGAATATTATAATGTCTGTACGTCTGACGTGATAAATCATATGCTAATTTTTTTGTCGATATGACCAAACATGATTGTCATTCGCTAGATGGCGTTGACAATGTCTTTTATGATTTTCTGCCTTTTTAGTGCGCCCACGGTGTATATATTTTTACTAGCGGAATACAAAAAATGTCCGAAAATTTGCAAATTTGCTCACGTGGCAGGGTCATATTACTCATCAAAGTAAAGGTGGATTCTGGCTTATGGGGTTATGTGTGCATGATTGTACGTCTATTCCTTCGTATGAATGCGTGTAAAACTTAGAAGATCTTGATTTAAATTTGAATTGTCTGTTTTCACAGCTCCAGAATTTACTGATGTTCAAAAAGATGTTGCTTCGTTAATCAAAGATAGAATTCTGATTGGTCACTCTATCTCTACTGACTTAAAGGTATGTGTAAAGTAATGTAAATAGCGAGTCTTTAGTGGTCTTTGTTTTTCTTTCTGGTGTTTTTGAAAATGTATAAATTATACTTAATGTATGTTTGGTAAGTTCGTAACATCCAAACAAATCTCAATAAGGACATTGATGCTGTTCCTGATTGGCTGGATGAAAACGAAGACTGAATCTCTTTTATTTGGAACTGCAAAAAAAATTAGTGAATTTGAACGACTCATTTGCTGTCTGTTACCCAGGTGAAACAATATCCAAGACCAAAGAATGTAAATACCTTGGGATGGAAGTGAATAGCAGTTTAAATCTGAATTCTCATTTCGAGAAAAACTTTAAACGTGCGTCTGGTAGGCTGAGATTGCTTGCAAAGTTAAGAGGCTGTCTTAACTTAAAATCTGCTAAAGCAATATACCAATCCATGATTTCACCCACTTTCACATACTGTGGTATGCTACAACTCAAATTAAGCCCGACTCGGCTGATTTCCACGACCGTGCTGTAAAAATTGTATCTCCTGGCAACAGTATTCTTACAGACCTCCCCTCGGTAATTCAATTTATTATATAAACATAAGTGTTATATAGAGTTTTTGGCCACTGAGAAAAATCGTATTCAAACACACGTAAAAAATACGATATTTTTACGTGTGAAAATATCATTTGTTGCTTGGTTACATGGTTACATGGTTGCTTGGAAATACCAGATTTATTTCTCGTGTTGAACATGATATCGCACTCGTTCGCTGCGCTCACTCGTGAGATATCATGTTCAACACTCGAAATAAATCTGGTATTCCCGCGCACCCATGTATTATTCTCTATGTAATCGTAAGAGAGCTTGTGAAATCGTACGAAAATGCCTTGTTAAGGACATAAGTTCGCTTTTCCATGATTATTTTACCATCAATAATCATCAGAAGAAAACGAGAAATAATGATTGTCTGCTACGCTTCCCAAAAATAAGAACTGCAGAATGTGCGCGGAAGTCATCCTTTTTCATGGGTGCAAAAGTCTACAACGACCTGCCAGCTGAAAAACGGAAAACACCAGAACTTTCTTAAACTTTTAGAAGATTATTTTAAATGTACTTTTTAACTTTTGAAGCCATTTTAATATCCTATATTGTAACTTATTTTAAATAGTATACAGTTATAGTTATATTTTTATGAACTTTACAGGACACGCGTTGATACTCTTTTGCTGAAGTGTTTTATCCTGTATAATAATTCGTTTTAATAATAATAAGTACATTATTTATATTCTTGCACGAATTGCAAATTAAGATCGCCACGAAGCCTTTTTGGTTAAGAGTTTGTTTTTAGCGCTATTAAGAGGACTGGTGTATTGATGAATTTATATCGTATATTAATTTCGTGTAAGTCTGCGGTGTGCAACAGATGCGAAAACAAATTTTATGCTCCGTAATTTGACTCGAAACCCACACTTTTACCAGCTATTTTAACTTACAGTACATTAATTAACATGATGACAGTTAGGTACTTTCAAGTGTTGCATTATAATTAGGAAGAACATGTCGTGTCATGTGAACTTTAAGGCATTTTGACGATTTGGTTAAAACAATGAAATTCTAACCAACTGTGCTAACGCATGCATAAGCAAAGATCGGACGGTTATATTAACCAACGCAGAGGCGGTGCACTCATAACATTGCCAGATATATTGCCTACAGTAGATTTCCTACTGGAAAGACAATTCCTAACGTATCTGCAGATCGCTTAGAGATCATTGCCATCAAACTCGAAATTATTAATTCAGAACTGTCTTCACGCGTTTGTTACCTACTGTAAATGTGTGGTGCGTGATTGACTGGGGTTGTTTACGCATTTGAAACTCCACTCTTTCACATGATTCGTCAGAAGGAATCCTGTGACAGATTAAGCAACACTACTTTTAAATTTATTTGTTATCGTAATACTTCATGTAATAATATTAAAAATATAGACAAGTTTCAAAACATGGCGCCCAACGTCACGGCAACGCGTCTTTAGTTTATCGAAAAAGTTATGTTTTAGCGGTATGACCGATCAATTAGAAAGGAAAAAGGCTACCCGTCGTGGGAACAGAACAGTTATAACGAAATACAGTAACGAAGCGAAGGAATTATTGGCAACTGGAGAAAATATTAACGAAAATACGAAGGATCGTTTAAACACGATCTTCTTGAGGAAAAATTACAAGTAGTAAAGGAATTCGACGAAGAAATCTTACAGTTGTGCGAAGTTAAAGAAATAGAAAACGAGATTGAAATATCCGAGGAATTAAATTCACGAGTTCTTGATGTTAAAAGACAAATATCCAAGTTTTTTGCGAACAAGATCGACGATACGGGAAAAGTACCTATTCACGATATATCTAAACCTGGTCCAAATACCCCGCAAGTACAAATAACAGAGGCAGGTGAAATTTCCTCTGAAATTAATGTCAATAATGAAACATTAAAGGATTAGTGTCACACCAGGAATTCGCGGGCTCAAACTCCTGCTGGCGGCCATTCTTCGGGACGAATAGATTAAATGATCTGGAAAGTTTTTATAATCCGTCATATATTTAAACCATCCTTTTATAATCCTTGCTCTTTTTGTCTGATTCATCGCTATTTGTTATATTTGAGTAAAATGTAAACAATAACAAAAGCCCGCAATGCATGACCCTGACACTAATCCTTTAAACGAACAGGACAATGTCAATTCAACCCAAGATAATCCAGCACCCAGTAGTCAATCAAGTGGAAATTACGTCATAGATTATGGTGCGAAAACAAAGCTTCCAAAGTTAACATTACCCTGGTTTAGAAGAGATATTACATTATTTCAAATGTTTTGGGATAATCTTGTATGACGGAACTTTCTCTAAGCCGCATTTTAGTAATTCTGTGTTTGAATAATTAGACAAATAATAATTAATTAATAATTAGACATTATTATAATAATTAATACAATACAATACTACAATACAATACAATAATTTAATGAACTCTCCCCAACGGGGCTTTTCGGAGCCAATTAACATTTACAAAAAATTATAAGATATACTAACATGAAATTCTAACTAACTAATTACTGGTACTGTATGGATGTAAAAATTGTTAAAGGCCAAATGCTACTATGAATGATTTCCTAAAAGATATTTACGTAATTTATCTTTAAAAATGTTAACCTACATTTAGGAAGTTCGTTCCATAAGGAGACAGCACGGTAATAGAATGTCCGTTGGCCAGTTGCACTCCTGAAAAAGGAGATGTTTAAAGAACTTGAGTTCCTCTTGCAACGTCCACTGATGTCGACTCTCCTCACAAATTGTTGAGACAAAGATGAGTTAATTAATTTGAGTTATACTCCGAAACGTAGTTATTAAAATAATCTTTTTGTACTAAGCCTATATGGTCTAATTATTCAAACACAGAATTATTTTGGGATAGTCTTCTTATGCCAGTCATATGTCAAAGCTAACACCTAAGTTACGAATCCATGTTGCAAGAAAAACTACCAATGAACTTTGGAAAACTGATGATATTCTGAAAATTATTCAAATGAACTGGAAGCACGTGAGATCAGTGTGTGTGTTCGGAAAAACAAGTCTGGTTTTAATGACATTCGCAAGTATGGAAACCAAATCGACAGCGGAATTACAGTTCATCTGCGGCAAGCCTATTCGTTAAAGATGGGAAAAATGAGCGAAAGATAAAATGTGTCTATTTGTGGACAATATCATTACTCAGCGTCGAGCGAACATGTCAAAGGCGTGGAGGATCGAAAGGACATTTTAAGAGATCAGAAACGTTGCTATTTATGTTTGCAAGGTGATCATTGTGCACATGAATGTGAAAATGACACACTCTGTCGTTGGTGCAATGGCAAACACCATCAATGTATTGGCACTAAAGCTACCAAAACACTTCGAAAGAACAATCCTGAAGAAACAACAAAACCAGAAGCGAAAGAGGAGAAAAAAGAAACAAAGAACCTCAACTACTACGTCCAACGGCTCATCAAAGGTGTTTTTGCAAACTGCCACGACATAATTATGCTTATTCTTAACACAGCAACAGAGCTATTCCTGTTCGAGTGTTTAGACAGACGCAACCAATCATCTGAAGAAACGACTTGGCCTCCAACCAGTAAAGAAAGAAACGCTTAACTTGAACGCATTCGGGTAGGATATATAAATTCACAAAACAGAAATGTGTGATGTTGTTACTTTAAACCTGAAAGGCAAACAAGGCAAATGTATCGAAGTTTCAGCTCTTTGTTTCGAGAAAATCTGTTCACCTATACCTACCAAGCTTGATAAATATCCACATTTGAGGGGATTGGATCTTGCTGATTCCTCTCTCGCTGAGAACAGTCATGATGAAATCATTGTAATTGGGGAAATTGTAAGAGGAGAAGGTGGTCCAGTGGCTGTTAACAGTAAATTTGGATGGGTTCTCTCTGGGCCATCGAGAGACACTGGAAAAAATAACAATGCAACATTATCGCACTTAGTAATTGACGAGAAGAACCTGCAACATAATCTATTGCCCGGCAGCATCAAACGAGATGATAACCTGACGGATAGTCTTCAAAGATTCTGGGATACCGAATCGATTGGTATCAAGAATGATACGTTTAGTGAAACCCAGCCGACGGAATTTCTACCCGAGATACATTTTGATAAAGGTGAAGGAAGATATGAAGTTAATCTGCTTTGGAAACAGGAATGTTTTCCAAAGTCAACAGGATATGGTATGTGTATCAACAGATTGCGACAACTGAAACAAGTCATTCACCAGCAAATAGACAGTGGTATCATTGAATCAGTACCACAAGAAGACGACAACGAAGGATATTACTTACCATATCATGGGGTGTTGAAGTCCGAGAGTGAGAGACTACGAAGCTACGAGTGGTTTTCGATGGATCAGCAAGACCAGATATAGACAGTCCATCCATAACTGAATGCTTAAAAAAGGGTCCCAACCTTATACCGCCTTTATTTGATACAATAATAAAATTCAGAAGTTATCCAGTGGGGCTTGTTTCTGATATTGAAAAGGCCTTTCATCAGGTGCAGATTAGTCCATCCGATCGTTGTATGCTTAGATTCCTTTTGTTCGATGACATTCGAAAGGACAATCCCACTATTAATTAAAAGATTCCAATTCCGACGCCTTGTATTCGGCTTTATACCGAGTCCAGCAATTTTGTCCACAGTGATACAAAATCATTTATCACAACATGACGAAGAAGGTGCTGTTGTACCCCAGCTGTCAAGAAGCATTGGACATTTACGATAAATCTCAAGAGGTAATGAAGAAAGGTGGATTTGTTTTGCGTAAATGGAATTCGAATTTCACGGCTTTACAAGATTGAATTGAGAAAGATACATTGTCAAGCGGAACACGGACGACATCAAGTTCAGTTTTCGAAAGTGAGAGAGAGAGATTGATTCAAAACAACATAGCAAGGAAATTACGCCTGTCAATATATTAGGATCTAACTGGAACGTTAAGACTGACAAATTCCAATTCGGTGTAAAGGAACTGGTTGAATGTACCAAAAAACTACCCCCGTACAAAGAGATCTGTATTGAAGGCTTCAGCAAAGATTTTTGACCCAATTGGAATATTTAATTTATTAACTTTGCCAGATAGTATTAACAGTTATTACAAAGTAATAATTTAACGAATTAACTAGACTATATGGCAGGGTATTCGCAACAGCGATTAGCCAATTACTGCGAACCCAAGGACAATACGTTAACATCAAATAGCAAAAAAACTAACAACTAACTTCATGCATTTGTACAACTATATATTTAGCTAGCTACGGCAACTGATCATGCTATGATAATAACATGCACTAGCTGAAGAGAAATTGAACAAATCAATGCATGCTACCGACTATAAGCATAGCACGAGCAGTTGCCATGTAGCTAGCTGTGCTGAAATTTTCAATAACAGCAAGATATTGGAGACGCTAAACTACGAACACAGTTGCATTTCAAGCATAAAGATCTAAATGTTCGCGGATTTTCAGGATTATAAGTAATGTCAACAGAGGTAAAATAATAATTGAGTAAACATGATTTAAATACAGCGAGACTGTCCGTATGAAGGTCTATTGCGTCTATTAGCGTGTTCCATATGTTGGAAGTTCTAACGAAACATTAATAATTATAATATGCATTTAGTCCATTTGCAGTCAGTCTTAAGATCTTTTTCCAGTTGCTTTGTTGTGATCGCGTAGATTGGGATGAGAAACTCGATGAAAAATCATTAGCATGTTGGAACTCACTGTTACAAGGATTAGAGTCAATCAATTCAATTGAAGTGCCAAGATGCTACTTCAGTCGTTTTAATGTATCAATAACGAGCCAGCAAATCAATGGGTTAAGTGTGCGTAAGGCATACGCAGCGGTAGTTTATTTGCGAACAGAGTATGAAGACCATTATGTTGAAACCAACATCATAGCATCCAAGACTAGAGTCGCTCCGATACGAAAGCAGTCTATTCCTAGGTTGGAACTTGTAGGAGCTACTATGCTTGCTCAATTGGTTAGCTCGATCAGCAAGATCCTTTTGTCTCGATTAGTAAATCCGAAGATATTCATGTGGACTGACTCGTTTACCGTACCTTGTTGGATACAAAAACGATAAACCGTGGAAACAGTACATACAGAGAAGAGCTGACAAAATTCGAAAACTCGTTGGAGAGGATAAATGGATGTTCTGCGTAAGAGAATTTAACATTGCGAACCTTCGCGAGGTTGTAGTGGAGCAGCACTGCTTAGGGACGGACCATTAGAAAAGTGATGGGGGGGGGGGTAAATTTTTTTTGTTTGCATTTTTTTTCCAGGTTGTCAGCTGTGTATGCATGTTTTTTTTAAATATGTCTTCTCGCATGCAATTTTTTTTCCAATACAACTATACAGATGTTAACGAAACTGTTCTCTTGACAAAAAATATCCCTTTAATACACACTGCAAAATTATATCTTTAAGCACCATATATGGACAAGTTTTCTAGGGGTCCAGAGCATGCTCACCCGGAAAATTTTTGAATCTAAATTCTCTGAAATACCATTTCCCGGACTTTGGGGAGAGATTTTACAGAATTCTGATGGTCAGAAAACGCCATTGTAACATATCAGAGGCCCTTGGCCAATGTTTTTGCTCTATAGCCTGAGCCTGGGGCCCCCCATTTGCGGGCCCATTGGGGTTGGGGGCCCCCGGATTCTCCCAGTCCGAGCCCATAGTAGTTACGCCACTGAGGACAGTGGCAGCGTGAATGAGAATTAATTATTAAATACAATAGAAAATATTTTGATAGTATATAATAAAACTACATAAGAGTTACTGTTAATATTGAAAGAAATTGCATATTAATATATTATATATTTTGATATATTTATATTCTGAAATATTCCAAAGATTTAGTTCAATTTTGTCTGATGTACATTTAAAATTAAAGTTTTATTGTTGTTCTGTTTGTAATTTTTTTTTTAAACAAGTCTGTTTGCATGTATTTTTTTTCAAAC